GCGAGAGTGATGTTAAACAAAGAGGCCTAAAAGAGCAGAGATGAGGTCAAGGAAGCAAGGAGAAGGTTACAGCAGGGTTATGGTGCCTGGGCTGCAAAAATCTGGACAGACGGCAGATGACAGCAAAGAAATGGGTTGTTTTTTTACATACTTTTGCTACCGTCTACTGATTTGGAGCCCTTGCTAAATTCATTTTATACCCAACACTAATATTGACCTATCATATTGTTTTCCCAAAAACCTGGCAACTATAGATCAGCGGGATGCTATGAAGTCTCAATCAGAAAATCCTGGCAATGTTCCCTAGCAACAATGTATGATTGGCTAGGACCAGTCAGGGCTCTTCAAACTTGACAGCTTTAAGACTTGTGGACTTCAACTCCCAGAATTTCTCCTCCAGTCATGTTATCTCGGGAATTCTGGGAGTTGAAGTCCACAAGTCTTAAACTTGCCAAGTTTGAAGACCCTTGGGGCTAGGTCCATTAAAACCAATAGTGATGCCTGAGCCCCTTCAATTCCATTGGTATAAAAACAGGAGCAGGCAGATAATTCTTTTGTGTCAAGATAGTACATGCTGGCCTCTATGGCTGCCAGGTCACAAAACTTCCATTTCTGGAAGGCAAATTGGTGAGTTGCTCCCCACTAGTCCCGACAACTACTTCAAACCTCCCCTCCCTCACCCTAAGTTCCTTATAGTCCTAGATCGATTGCTTTTGAGAGGAGTGATGTTGTTCCTTTATCTAGGCTCAAGAGTACATTTCTAACAGAAAACTGGGTTGCAATGCAAAGTATTTTTATTTTCTAAATATGATTATTAGACCTGAAGGCAGTTTTGGGAAATAAAGAGTAGTGCTTTGCTTTGCGGAATATCAATTTCTAACTAGCTTTTTTTATTTTAAAACATCTTCAAAATATTAGTGACATGTTGGATAAGGAGCCTAATAGTGCTCAGGGAAGTGTCCACAGAAACAATCAAATGCATGCACTGAAAGGAAGTTAATAGGAAATTAATGCCTTGGGTTACCTTGAGAATTCATAGCAAGTCCAAACAGAGTTGACCCAGATAGTTGAATCTATATACTGTATTACTAAAACTATGATTGTTTGTAACCTTCAACTGGATTAAATAGTGCATCACAGGGCAACCGTTTTTGAATCAATGTGTTTCAAATGAGAGAAGGCACCCAAAATCTGGGATCCATGACTCCTTCTGATTGAAATGTGGTAAAGTTGTGGCTGCTTCAGTGCTACTGCACTGCCAAAGTTAGCTGCAGCCAGCCATGGTCATGTGATCATCATTTCCAGTGTTCCTTCTGACTTTCTACAAGAAAAGTCAATGGAAAACAGTCAGGAAGTTGGAAATTGCTCTTGCTCCTATTGCTTTCTTGCCTGCCAATCATTCGGTTTCTCTGTTAGGTAAGGAAGTATCTCTGAAACAATGAGCCAATGCGGCATGGGTTGTCTAGTACACTTTTCAATAAATTCTCAGATAAAATAAATCCCCTTTTGAGATGAGTGTGATTTCTGTGGACTTGACAAACACATTAATACATCAATTTGCAAGCAGGTCAACTGACTGCCTTCTAGGATGTTTTTTTTTTTTTGATTTTCCCATTTCACTTACAGTTGTGAGGTTCCAAGTGATCTCCCATCCAAATATTCACAGAAGTTCAGTCCCACTTCTGAACCTAGATAAGGTCTGCTAGGAGGCAGTTTCCACTCATTCCCAGAAAGATATGAGAATATAGGCAATATCAAATACTCTATGAGAGCATATCCAGTCCAAACTGGTAGGGGGAAGCGCAAGTATACTTGACCAATTGCAAGTCACATAGTAATATGTTGTTATTACCTCTATCACCACCTTGCCCCCTGGTCTCCATAGCACTGAAAGAAAGCTTAGCATCTAAACCAGGGATGTCCAACCTTGGCAACTTTTTGCTGGCTGAGGAATTCTGGGAGTTGAAGTCCACAAGTCTTAAAGTTGCCAAGGTTGGACACCCCTGATCTAAACCATTTTTTTTCATATTCTCTATCCTATTGCTTCTCAGTCTTGGCGATTTGTGTAGACATCAGTTTCCAGAATTCTTCAGATTTAGAGAATTCTGGGACTAAGTCCACAGGTCTTTAAAGTTGCCCATATTGAGAAATATTGGTCTGTCCTATAACTCTGATGTTGACATCACAGGTTTTGAATTATTTTTGTAGCTCACCAAACAACATAGTTTGAATTTTTTTAACCATCTGTTTTGCACTAAAAGCTGTAAAAGCATTAACAAATTAGAGGGTGCAGCCCTCCCTGGATATACAGGCTCTTTTGCTTTCTTTTCTTGGGTCATTTCATAAAAAAAATAAAGAATTTAGAGATGAGAATATCCTGATAAGTTGATATTAAACCAGCCTTCCCCCATTTTGCTGTGCTTTAAGAAAACAAGCCAGTATGCAATGAAAAGGACTCCATAAGCTAGTGTGAAGCTTCTGTGTTGAAACTCATATGTTTGTGAACATGAATATACACATCCTCATGATAATGGCTGAAAATTCTGGCATGGCCTTCTCGTTGACATGCTAGTTGCATCTATGCAGTGTCTTCCCTGCCCTCAGGTAGAAGCACTCAAACCTTTGATTCCAGCCTGCAATTAGTAACAAAAATGTCTAGGAACATTTTTATCATCTCATTTGCTGCTTCTGTGATATTAAGTGACGAAAGGTTTGAGGGTAAACCTACCTTTCAATGAAAACAGAAATAAAAATGAAACACCCTCATGGTGGATCCCCTTTTGTCGTATTTCATACTGTGGAATTCACAACTCTTTTATATTAGGCTTCCTCTGTGCATGCATCCACATCCACATAAACACTAAAAGATGTCCATTTTTGACTCATGGGGAAAACTGGTGTGGTGTCTTGGTGTCTTGAGGAAGAAAAAAAATACTAATCTATATGTAACCTTGGACTACGCACACCTTAATGAGGGGATCATTCATGCTGAATGAATTTGTTTTCTTGCAGATGTTTAACTAGGCAACATCATCAGTGCACAACCAAGCTCAGAGAGCACCAAGGACCCCTCAATTCAAGCCCGAATTACAAATATTCTCCTTTATTACCTGAATTCTGGCTTAAAAAACGCACACCCAACTCAGAATCATATAGAAGCAGAGTGAACTGGTAGCTTGATTCTTCTTTCTGTCTTGAGACACTCACCTTTTTGTGAGAGGAACAGGCTACTATGGGGGGAATGGGGCTGAGAAGATGCTGTTTTGTTTTCCAATGGAAAGATAGATCCTTTCACGCTGCCTCCAGCTCTACTTGAGATAATCACTATTATTATTATTACTGTTAGTTCCTTTGGGACCCAAGGAACACTCCAGAGGGCTCTGTTCCTCTTAATTGCCACAGAAACCAGCCATCAGCTTTGTGTCCATGGGGCTGTCCCTCCCTACATCACAATGGGGTCTTTAACACAGTTAGCTCCAGTGGAATCTTTTGAGAAAAGTGTCGGCTGATGTTTTAACCAAGAAGGATGCACAACTGCATACATTTATGAGTTGTTCTAGCCTTTGCGATACCTTGTGGGTAAAAGATCACTATACATTGGTATCCTTTTGTCTGTAGAGTGCCTCCCCCCCTCAAAAGGATACAGCAGTAATAACTAACCCAGATGTGGCATGTTGGGCTAAGCCAGTGTTAAGCCCCCACCTCCAGGATTGGACCCAAGCCCATAAAAGATGACCTGTTTCCAGCACCACCTCAAGCTGTATGCCAGCAAAAGGGCATTACCTCAGAGGTGGAACCTTCTCCTGAAGCAAGTTTGGCAGACCCACCTAAGTTCTTTCTTGGACAACAATGGAAGATATCTTCTGGGCATTGCTCGGGTAACAAGTACTCGGAGGTACAATTCTCTTATGGTTTGTCTAGTATTTTGCTTTTCAGCTTTCTTGAAAAAATTGTATCAATGTTAGTATTTATTGTCTTTAAATGTTGGTGGAGCTATATATTGCTATGAGTACTTCCAATAGTTTTGCATACCCTGTTTTAGGTAATTTTGGAAGGACCTAGAGAAATAAAATTCCTAATCTTCATCTTAGATAGAAATGTTTGTGTGTTTTTAACAGGAGGCACCTTTTGAACTTAATACCTGGTGAATGGGATGGCTGATATACTCCTTTCACTTGCAAATTTTAGAGGAAACAAATGCAAAAACTGCTTAATTGAAAATAATCTTTTGCTTTGTTTCATAAAGAATGCTTCTGACCACTATCAGGATCAACTTGTAAGCAGAGCTGCCTTTGTCAAAATAGGCTGGGTGGCCTTTGAAGTGTAAAAGAACCAAGCTTCTTTCATTTATATCTCTGAGACTGTTGTTAAAAGGGGATTGACAGGAGAAATCCCTTTTCCCAACCCTTTGCTCTCACTATTAAGTTAAATCCTATTAATTCAGGATTTATAGATAGGAAGTTTTCCTTGATCCCTCCATACTGATGTTAATTGACAAATCTTGCACACTAATACAGTAGATAGCCCTTCAGCTGGGATGCAATGATGTGCCAGTGACAGCAAAAATGGATTAACAGCTGAGAAATGCTGAGAATGAAACCACAATCTCGAATTTTTTTCCCCGAATGTAATAGCTACATTCACACCTTCCAATTTCCTATGCAATGGTAGTTTTCTCTAATGACTAGGATGATGGATTCTGTAATCTAAATGAGGAGGGACTTTGCATTGAGTTGAATAGATGCGGGATTAGTTTCAAGTATAATTTAAAAGTGGGAAAGGAGGAAAATATTCCCTTAGTACAATGAGAATTCAAGGCTGCCTTGAAGTCTACATGCCCAACACGTAAGTGTTCAGTTATGAAGAATTGGAGAAAACAGAGAATTTGATGGGTACCTCACAAGCTCCACAATCAGCTGTGGAAATCGGTTTTTGGGGGATGCCTGTGCAGATTTTGTGTGATACAATTTACTTCCTTGTTAGTTTTAATTAAAATCTTTATTACAACGAACAAAATATTCTCATTTCACATAATCTAAACCCCCTCATCCAAGAGCCCCCCACGTAAAGCCCTAGAGCCCCACAGCATGCATATACTGGGGTCTAGGAAAGAGCCTTCAGCTGTTTGCTCTGGTCCCAATATGGGGTCCTGCACCCATACGAGGAAGGGGGTGAAGTCTGGGCATTTTGAGCAGAATCAGAGGACAACAAAACTTTCCATCCCGCTGTTGCTACATTTCTCTTTCCTCCAGAGCAGCCAGAGAGAGGGAGGAGGGATGTGGGAGAAGCGTTCGATTTCCCCAGTTGAAGTGCCTGTCTGACAGAGGCCACCATCTTGCAGGCCAAGGGTCACAGCTCATCCTCGTCAAGTTTGGCAAGTTGGGCACTACCTTGAGGGACATTAATTTCTGGGACCTCAGGATCGGGGAGCAGTGGCCTGGCCTCATCTTCAATCAGGATCTAATGAGGGGACAAAGAGAGATGGTCAACTACAGAAATCTGTTCAAGACTGATCTCTGATATAACTGCTCTCGGGAACATTCTGCCAGGCTCATTTGTAGTAGTTCAGTATGTTGAGTTTTAAGGGGGGAAAATTGTAAAGCAAAGCAATCCAAATTCCTCCTTAAGAAAAGCTGCACTCTAATCTACATACATTATGCACAATTTCATTCTATTAGAGCACGTGAACTATATTTTTATATCAAGAGCCGTGGTGGCGCAGTGGTTAGAATATAATATTGCAGGCTGACTTTGCCCACTGCCAGGAGTTCTATCCTGGCTGGCTCAGGGTTGACTCAGCCAAGGTTGGTAAAATGAGGACCCAGATTGTTGGGGGTAATAGGCTGCTATTGTAATATGTTCAGAAAGAGGTATAAAGCACTATGAAACAGTATATAAATCTAAGTTATATCTGGCCCAGGTTCAGGACTATCCAATATTTTGTCTCCTGAAAACATATTTCTAGAACATGAAATATCAACATTTGTTTCCATTCTCAAAAATAAGGTTTGATACAATTATTTTAAAATGAAAATTAAATTATTTTTACAGCTATAGGCAAACATGTTATCTAAGCATATTTCCTCTATATGTTTAATTGGTTCACGATTTACCTTCTGTCAACTAATTATAACATGGACAATAATGATCCTACTTGCAATGATCTACACTTTTCTATCAGCGGCTTTCCCAGAGCAAGAAATGTATCAGCAGCAGTGTCTTCAATATTTACTACACCAATTTTCCAAAAGACAAGGGGACAATTGTAGGCATCACTGCAAGTGGAACCTAAGTCTCTTGAATCTCTTAAACACACAATAAATCCTCTGTAAACTCGAAAGATGATATAGTGGTCAAGAACATCAAACTCAGAGAAGAGAAATCCTCTCTTAGCCATGTAGTCTCTTAGGCCTTAGGTGAAAGTATTTTACCTTAACACCACTCATAGGATTGTTGCACGAATAATAATGACTAGATCAGCGGTCACCAACCAGTGGGCCGCGAGAAAATTTTGGTAGGCCGCAGAGAAATCTCTCCCCCAGAGCACCCCCCC